ACGGTAGATACACCCTGATGGGGAGGGTGGGGGGCCCCTCTTTATTTAATTTGCTTAGGATGGGGGAGCTCCCTGTTGATTCAGCTGATAGGCCCGTTGACCCCCCAAGGGTTATTCGCATAGAGGTGCTGAGAAACCCCTTTCAGGACATGGTCCCCAGGGTGCTGCAGCAGCAGGAAGAGGAGGAGGGAGAGGAAGAGGAGAAGGCGGAGGAGGAGAAGAGGCCGCAGCTTGCGGTCGCCAAGGCGGCGCTTTTGTCTTTTGCAGAGGAAGATGAAGACCTACAGCTGCAGCAGCAGCAGCAGCAGCAGAAGCAGCAGCAGCAGCAAAAGGGGCCCCTCAGTGCCCACGATTTGCTGCAGGACCCCAGACTCTCGAAGGAGGCTCCCGTGGAATCTTATCAGCAGCAGCAGCAAGCAGAAGCACAACGCCTTAAGGAGCGCATCGCCTCTCTTGTTGCGGGGAGTAAGGGGGGCGCAGCACCAGCTGCTGCTGCCGACGAGATATACGATAGCGGCAGCAGCAGCAGTAGGAGCAGCAGTAGGAGCAGCAGCAGGGGCAGCAGCAGGAGGAGTAGGAGCAGGAGCGGTAGCCGCAGCAGAGGCAGCAGCAGCAGCAGCAGCACCATGGCCGTGCGTAAGGGGCTCCCTCTTCCCCCCACACGCAAAGATATTGCTGCTGCTGCTGCTGCACTCCCTGATTCAAATCTGCTGACTGCTGCAGAGCAGCGGCGGCGGCTGCTACTGCTGCAGCGGCAGTCGCGCAGCTCACAGCTGCGGCAAGCAGACACCCTCGAGAAGCTCAAGGCCTTCAGACAGCAGGTAAAACCCTAAACTTTAAATACCAGAGAAAGTAAACCCTAGTAAACATAATAATCCCCTAATAGACAATCATAAACAATAAAACCCTAATTATAGTAAACCCCAATAAACCCGAACAATAGAAAACTCCAATAAACCCTAGTAAGGGTAAACCCTAATAAACTCTCTCTTTCTTATTTGTCTTTTTTTTACTTGCGCAGCTGCAAACGATGCAGAAATCCACAGGAAAGAGCCTCAAACGCAGCAGCGAAAGCAAAAACAGCAGCAGCAAGGAGAAGAAGCACGATAAGGCTGTGGAGGCGGCGAAGGCCGCAGCAGAGCGG